GTCATTCCCGAGATCGACGACGATGCAACCCGGCCTCCGGACGACTCCACCCAACCTCCGAGTGATCTTGGACATTAATTTATTTAGCTTTTATATTTTCTTGTATTAACTGCAACCTATGTATGGTTTTTAGTTATTTAATAATTGCATAATCTTTAGCGACGTTTTAATACATTTCAAATAATAAAAAATTATGTTTACAATATTTTATCATATTTTAGTTATTTTAAAATTGTTACTTTTAGCTCATTTTATTTCGATTGAAAAAAATTAATTAAACAATTAGCGACGGTCTTAGAAACGGTCCGGACCGTCACTAAAGACAAAGAAATTAGAAACGGTCTAGGACCATCGGAAGTTTGTCGCTATTTAACAACGGACTTACTAAGGGTTTAACGGGATGTCGCTAATTTTGCAAGTATTTACAGCAAACTTTAGCGACGGATAGCTTTTTTTACGAGGGTTTTTACTTGTCGCTAAATTTGCAACGGTCAAAACCGTCGTGAAATTTTACCGATGAGCGTTTTAGCGACCGTCGCTAAGGCGTTGTAAATTTATTTTTGCGATGATTTTTTTAAGTTAGCAATGGTTTTGATTGTCGCTAATTAGCATTTATCTTGTAGTGTGTCTAGGAAAATCATTAATAACTCAATATTAATGGTTTGATCCATTAAAACTAAGATTAATTGAACCTTGGTTACTGCAATCTCCTTCTTTTTAATGATGACAAACCATTAACGTATTTTTAAGCATAAAAATCACTCAATTCAATCTTTAATGCTCCACCTATCAAATTTGCTAAATAAATATACAAAAAATGACATGCATCAATGAAAAAAAAAACATAAACCTCCTTTACCAACTTGCAAACATAGAAAATAAACCAATTTAACAACATGGAGCATATTAACTTAAAAAGATAATTTTATAGAAAACTCACATGATAAATCATATAAATCCAATCTTACTCCCTCTTTTGACATCAATCAAAAAGGGAACTTACCTTAGATTCCAAAAAGAGCATGATAAGGCCATAATATCTAAAATTAGTCATGCTAAAGTTAGCAAACAAAGCTAACACACATAAGACCATCTCAAGTTAGAATGAAAAAATTAATATACTCAAACAAAAAAAAAAATTAAAATTTACATATTTGATTGAGAAATGATTGAAAGTTGATGTACTCGTAATACAATTATCCCTAAAAACAATTTCTCATTTTATGTAATTTTATGCCCCATGGAAAGAAAAAAAGAAAACCATAAGGTACCAATGATCTCTCTTTCGGATATCTATTTTAACGGAAAGGTGAAGACCAAAAGCATCATTCAAAATTTAAAGAGATGAAGCTTAAGTACGGCGGCATAGTTGCTTAATAAGTTAATGAGGGCAATTGACCCTTTTATATTTTTATGGAAAAAAAAATACGCTTATATACCCCATAAAAAAAACCTTTAATTAAACCCAATTTATGTGTCAATGTCACATTGGTACCGAGTAGAGTTCTAATAAATAAAAAAAGAACTAATGCATCAAAAACCAATTAACCGACCAAACGCTCGGATCTTAAAATTTCTAAAACCTAATTACTTAAATCTCTTTGGCTCTCACCTCCCTTCCTCTCTTGTAAGTGATTCTAATACTGTTTATCTTCTCTAATTCTTGTAATACTTTTTTATTTAATCTAATTATTTAATTTATTTTTGTTGTTTGTATTGTTGTCCTCTTTTTTTGCCTCCTCTACAAATCATCCTTCTTTGATTAAAATAAATTGATTTAGAATCCCTAGCAAATTACTTCATGTACTTGACTTCGATTATACTAGCCTAATTATTAAGTGTTGTTTTTGTCCTCTTGTCTTGAGTAAATAAAATATCAATTATTGTTTTTATTTTTGTCTTCTATGCCGTTATGAGTGCCTAGACTTTATGTTTCTTCTTTATTTATTATTATTTTTTTGATGAAATGTTTCTTCTTCATTATTCTTATTATTATGATTGGATAATTGTTGCATTTATGATTTATCAAAAGCATATGTTAAGATTCATTTATAGATTACATATTACAAAATTAGTTATAACGTAAATTATGCTAAAAGGATTTTATTTAATGATTGAGTTAATTGAATAAAATTATTGAATCCATACTTTTTTTAAGGGGATTATATCACTTATATTGTTACTAGTAGGTGGAATTAACAAATATAATATATATCTAATAACCATTATTTATTCTCTCTTTTTTTTCTTTCTTTTTTTTAGTTATGAAAAGGTACTTTAAGAGAAAAACTATGTCCGAATCATTGCCACCTATTCAAAATCAAGAAAGTCATGATAAGAATGCCATAATTTGAAAAAAAAAGTTCTTATGAAGTTGATTTAGCAAATCTTCCATCGGATCTTGAACTACAAAAACCAATTATGGATTATCATCCTCACATAAAGGATGAAGTTCGAAGAGCATATCTACATAAAGGACCTTGTCGACCTCATGAACATAATTTTTAACAAACTCTATGGGGAAATGCATTAAGAAGATTTAATCTATCTTAGTTTGATGAACCTCACACATGGTTAGAATATAGTAAGGTGAAGGAAGCGGCATATTGCTTATGTTGTTACCTTTTCAAATTAGGTAGTAAAGAGCATGGGGGTAGTGGTGATGCCTTTGTTGTGGATGATTTTAGCAATTGGAAGAAAAAAGAAAAGTTACAAGCACATGTTAAAGGTCCTAATAGTACACACAATCGGACTTCCCATAATTGCTAAGTTTTGATGAATCAACAACAACATCCGTAAACGATTATCAATGAGTAATCCGGATGAGGTTGAAGTAACTATTAGGTTAGATTAAATGCTTCGATTGATCTGTGTTTGATTTATTTTAAGATAAAGTTTAGCTATTCGTGGTCATGACGAATCAAATGTTTCGAGTCACGAAGAAAATTTCAAAGCAACTTTAAAACTTCTTTTTGATTAGAAGGAGAAAATCAAAAGAGTTGCGATAGATATATGTTATGGAAATCTTAAATTGACATCTTCGGATATTCAAAAATATTTTTGAGTGCTTGTGTAATTGAAACCACCAATTCCATCATTCAAGACCTTAGGAATGCTTTATTATCCATTCTAATGGATGAAGCTCGCGATGTGTCAACTAAAGAATAAATGACAATTGTGTTATGCTATGTGAACAAGGAAGGCAAAGTGGTTGAACACTTTTTAGGTATTGTGAATGTTGGAAACACTAGTACTTGATCATTAAAGGCCTAAATTGAAGCAATATTTGCCAAGCACAACTTAAGCATGTCAAGATTACATGATTAATGCTATGATGGGGCAAGCAATATGCAAAGTAAGTTTAACGGTCTTAAATCTTTAATCCTAAAGGAGAATGGAAGTGGTTTTTATGTTCATTGTTTTGCACGTCAACTTCAATTAGCACTTATAGCTATTGCCAAAAATCACATGTCCATTGTCTTACTCTTTAGTTTAGTTTCAAGTGTCATAAATGTTATTGGGAGATCTTGTAAGCGCCACGATATGCTTTTAAAGTTTCAAGCTATCAAAGTTTTAAAGGCAATCGAAAATGGTGAACTTGAAAGTGGGTAAGGAGAAAATCGAGAGTCTACTCTTAAATGGGTTGGAGAGACACGATAGGGTTACACTACTTTGATTTGCTTTATTGATATGCTTTCTTCTATGGTTGATGCCCTTGAATTCGTCATGGAAAATAAAAAGCCTAACCAAAAAGTTGAAGTTGCACTTTATTGGATTCATTGAAATCTTTTGATATTTCATTTTATCTTCATTTGATGAAACACATATTAGGAATCACTCATGAATTATCACAAGCATTACAAAGAAAAGATCAAGATATTGTGAATGCTATAGCCTTGATCAAGATATCCGTAATTTTATGACCCACGTGAAAGAAAGGAGAGAAAAGCATACGGTACAAATGAGAAATTTTATAATACTCGAAAGTAATTAGTGACATATACAATAATTACTCGATAGATATTTTTGTTGGAGAGAGATAAATACAAAACAAGGGAGAGAAAATTAAAAAAAATTGAGCGAATGTGAAAATTTTTTTTCATCGTATATCTCTACCAAATAGATCTATAAAATAATTATTATATATATCACTAATTACTTTTTAAATATTATAAAATTTATCGGATGTAAATGATCTCATGTTCGTATATCTATCTTAAGAAAAAGGTGAACACCAAAAGAATCATTCAAAATTTAAAAGAGAGAAACGATGAAGTGGTACTGATCCAGAGAGTGGAGGGTCCCTCTTATAGCCAAATCATTCTTAAGCTCGATGGTCCCCTCTTTCCCTACCAAATCCTTGAAATACAAAAAGAACAACTGCATGCACCAAAACCCATAACCCAAAATCAAATCATATTATTAAATTTATGATAATAATTCACATTGAAGAGAAGGGACGAGTAGAGAAAAATAGAGATTGCTTACCATCTATAATCTATTCTAATCTATCTGCGTAAGGTTAAGCAGCTTATTAACTCTAGCCTGAATCGTTATCGAATGAATGTAGTACTCTATAACATACGTGCTTTGCTGGGATTTGGAATCCAGAGTTACTCACAGTCAACTCTGTCATGTTTATGTAATAGGTATACCATTGTTTGGGGGAACAAAGTAATAAAGAATAAAAAGAAAGGCACACAGCAATAGCATCAACAGCAGCAAAAGCAAAAAGATATGGAAGGATGGCATGTCTGCATTATTTCTGCATAAATGGACAAGGTTTGCGAACATGGCCACATATTTTCCTAATCTTTTGATATATTGAAACTTAAAGTATTTTTTTAAAAAAGTAGCTACATTAGACAGATTGAAAGAAACATAAAACAAACATGAAATTGCAAACCAAGCATTCTAGAAAGCAAAAGAGGACCAAATCCTTCCACTGTTAAGACACCTAAACTTATTAACGGTCCCAGTTGATCAGAAAAAGTCAATCATCATCCCTCCTTGCCGTGCTGATCTTGCTTCCCATTCTCTCTATCGTCTCCACTTTTGTTCTTTCCCACGATTTCTAATAAAAAACCCATGAACAGAGACTCAAAATTTGGAATCTTCTCATACCCAGGAAAATAATTTATATCAATAACAAGATACCTATTTGCATCTCTAGCATCCCTAATCAGATCAAAATTGAACAAATTAATCCCTGTTTCCTCCTTCATGGCCTTGGCTACTTCCTCAACAAAATCCACTGCCGGCATTTCCACACACTCAAAGTCACTATTCTCCTCCACACTCGCACTTGATATTTGCAAAAACGGTAGCAAACCCTTCAAAGTCACAGAGTTGTCCTCGTTTAAATCTGGCAACGATTTTCTCTTGACACATTTCACATAATCACCCGCCACATAGGCTTTAAAAATAACTCCTCCATGATTAACGAATTCTTGCAAAATAATCGGTGTCTCTAACTTGTCTAATCCTTCCTCATCAAAAACTAAATACATTTTATGCCAGGTGTCACTCCCATTAGCCATTAACGGTTTGGCAATCAGTGGAAACCCTAAATCCCTAATCAAATCATCATGACTGTTCGAAGTTTGTTGTAAATCGGAAAAAAACATGTTTTTTTGGCACGTCTAAAACTTGATGTCTTTGTGGAAATTTTAGGTTACTAACAACTTGGATCATCGAAACCCGATTGTGGAGTCTCTGAACGGAATCAAGCGAATCAATGATAGGGACCTTAGGATTTTGAGAGGAGAAGTGTTGGAGCTGGGACTCCCAATCTGGGCAGTAAAGTTTGTGGATGATGCAATCAAAGGGTCCTTGTTCGATCAGGGGCTTTGAAGGATCAATGGGGATGAGTTCAATGTTGTGTTCCTTTGCCTGCAGGATGAGTGAGGGTTGGATGAATGCTTGGGTTTTGTTTGGTAGCAATGCATAGCCTATGCTGTTCCTTTCTGGGTGGGTTGACATGGTCGGAGACGATGGTAGTAGAGTTGTTGTTGTTTGGGATTGAGAGGCGAGAATGCGTTTTACTTTCAGCTTCAGTTTCAACTTTAAATAGAGAGGAAGTTCTGAACCAGATTCGATGGGAATCAGAATTAAATAAGAATCTTCGTAGATAGTGCCGATGAAAGGTTCCAAACTGGAGCCATGTTCGAATAAGCTTTAGCAATTTGACATTCTTTTAGAAATTCTATGGCCATTTTTTTATGCTTGATTGCATAATGGTAATGGAATCAATTCTTGCAAGTCGACTTTACAGTCAGTAGCACCACTCTCTTCGACAAAAGAAGATAGAAAAAGGGTGACCGTCCATTAGTGTATCCATTTAATATTGTTTTACTTTATTATATTCAATTTTTCAAATGAAGGAAGTGTCCGTTGTATTTTAACTACGATTTTCACTCGTTAAAAAAAAAAAAAAAAAAAAAGTCATTTAACGAGTAAATTATAAATAAAAGCACAAGTCTTCTTTTTAAAGAAGATGAAACTTCAAATATTCATATGAAAATGCTTAACAATGTTTTTGATCAAACCATTAATATCGATTTATTAATGAACCCTTGGTTCCACAATCCCTTTCTTTTTTTATGATGACAAACCATTAACACATTGTTAAGCATAAAAATCACTTAATTCAATCTTTAATGCTTCACCTATCAAATGCGCTAAATAAATATACTGAAAATGACGTGCATGAAAAAAAAAAAAAAAACTCTAAACTTCCCTTACCAACTTGCAACCATACAAATTAAACTAATTAAAGGACATGGAGCATATTAACTTAAAAAGATAAATTTTATAGAAAAATCACATGATAAATCACATAATCCAATCCTACTCCCTCTTTTGACATCAATCAAAAAGGGAACTTACCTTAGATTCCAAAAAAGCATGGCAAGATCATAATATCTAAAATTCGTCATGCCAAAGTTAGCCAACAAAGCTAACACACATAAAAACATCTCAAGTTCACGATAAAAAATATCCAAAATTACATATCAAGAGACAAATATATATATATATATATATATATATATATATATTTGATTAAGAAATGATTAAAAGTTGATGTACTTGTAATACAATTATCCTTAAAAATACGTGATCGTTTTATGTAATTTTATGCCCCATGGGAATGGGAAAGAAAGAAGAGAAAAACGTATTGTACCAATGATCTCTCTTTCAAATATCTATTTTAAGAGCAAAGTGAAGACCAAAAGAATTATTTAAAAATTAAAAGAGATGAAGGTTAAGTACAGTGACACAGCCACTAATAACATAAGGGGGCAATTGACCCTTTCATTTTTTTACAAAAAAAATACTATTTACATACCCCATAAAAGAAAAAAACTTTAATTAAACTCAATTCGTGTGTTAGTGTCACATGGGTACTAATTATAGTTCTAATAAATAAATAAGAAAAAAGAACTGATGCACCAATAGCCAATTAACTAGCCAAACACCCAAATTTCAAAATTTCTAAAGCCTAATTACCTAAATCTCTTTGGCTCTCACCTCTCTTCCTCTCTTGTAAGTGATTCTAATATTATTTATCTTCTTTAATTCTTGTAATATCTTCTTATTTAATATGATTATTTAACTTTTTTCTTATTTGTATTGTTGTCCTCTCTTTTTTCTCCTCAACGGATCATCTTTCTTTTGATTAAAATAAATTGATTCAAAATCCCTAGCAAATTGCTACAAGTACTTGACTTCGTTTATATCTATCTAATTATTAGCATTGTTTTTTTCCTTTTGTCTTGAGTAAAGAAAAAACATCAAGTATTGTTTTTATTTTTGTCTTTTATGCCGGTATGAGGGCCTAACCTTTATGTTTCTTATTTATTTATTTTTTTGATGAAATATTTCATTTTCATTATTCTTATTATTCGAGTGGGTAATTTTTGCATCTATGATTTATCAAAAGCATATCTTAAGGTTAATTTATAGATTGTATATTATAGAATTAGTGACAACGTAAATTATACTAAAAGAATTTTATTTAATGATTGAGTTAATTGAATAAAATTATAGAACCCATACATTTTTTAAGGGGATTATATAACCTATATTGTTAATTACTTTTGGGTGGAATTAACAAATATAATATATATTTGATAATTATTATTGATTCTCTCTCTTTTTTCTTTCTTTTTTAGTTATGGAAAGGTACTTGAAGAGAAATACTATGTCCGAATCATTGCCATCTATTCAAAACCAAGAAAGTCATGATAAAGAGTGCTACAATTTGAAAAATATTTCTTATGAAGTTGATTTAGCAAATCATCCATCGGATCCCGCACTACAAAAACCAACTATGGATTATCATCCTAACATAAAGGATGAAGTTCGAAGAGCATATCTACAAAAAAGACCTTATCAACCTCATGAACATAATTTTTAACAAACTCTATAAGAAAATGTCTTACGAAGATTTAATCCATCTTGGTTCGATGAACATGGCACATGGTTAGAATATTGTAAGATGAAAGAAGCGACATATTGCTTATGTTGTTACCTTTTCAAATTAGGTAATAAAGAGTATGAGGGTAGTGGTGATGCCTTTGTTGTGGAAAGTTTTAGCAATTGGAAGAAAAAAGAAAAGTTACAAGCACATGTTGAAGGTCCTAATAGTACATACAATCGAACTTTCCATAATTCCAAGTTTTGATGAATCAACAACAACATCTATAAACAATTATCAATAAGAAATCAAGACAAGCTCGAAGTGACTATCGGGTTCATTTAAATGCTTCAATTGATTACGTTGGATTTCTTTTAAGATAAGATTTATCTTTTCGTGATCATGAAGAATCAAATAATTCGGGTAATCAAGAAAATTTCAAGATAAATTTAAAACTTCTTTGTGATCATAATGAGGATATCAAAAGAGTTACAATAGATAAATATTCTAAAAATCTTAAATTGACATCTTCGGATATTTAAAAACATATTGTGAGTGCTTATGCAATTGAAACCACCAATTTCATCATTTAAGACCTTGGGAATGCTTTGTTGTCTATTCTAGTGGATGAAGCTCATGATGTGTCAACTAAAGAAAAAATGGTAATTGTTTATGCTATGTGAACAAGGAAGGCAAAATGGTTAAACATCTTTTACGAATTGTGCATGTTGGAAATACTAGTGCTTTGTCATTAAAGGCCATAATTGAAACAATATTTGCCAAGCACAACTTAAGCATGTCAAGACTACATGATCAATGCTATGATGGGATAAGCAATATGCAAGGCGAGTTTAATGGTCTTAAATCTTTAATCTTAAAGAAGAATGGAAGTGGTTTTTTTTTATGTTCATTCACTATAAAAAAAATTGAGTTTAGCTACAAAATATTCCGTCGCTAAATGCCTCGATTCCGTCGCTATTCGTGAATAGCGATGGAATAGTGATGAAAAATATTCCATCGCTATTTCACTTGTCATTAATTTTTTACGATGGAATACTCGATCCGTCATAACATTTAGCAACAAAAAATTCATCGCTAAACCAAAAAAAAAATTTCATCGCTAATCTTATCGTCGGATCGATCATTTTATTTGTAGCTAATCTGTCTCTATTCCATTGCTAATTTTGAAAGAAATCCATCGCTATTTCGTTGCTAATTTTAAAATAAATCTGTCGGTATCATTGCTATTTTGAAATAAATCCGTCGCTATTCCATCACTAATTTTAAAAATAAATCCATCACTATTCTATCGTTAATTTATGTCGTTATTTCATCTTTATTTTGAAAAAAAAATTGTCACCAATCCGTCGTTATTCTATCACTAATTTTGAAAATGAATTTTTTGTAATTCCATCACTTTTGTTGACATTTTTTGAAATTAAATTATTTATATGAAATTTAATAATTAATATTTAATAATAAAAAATCATAAGTAATCATGTATATATGAAAAATAAAATAATATTAACAAAATCATTCTAGAATACGTTCCATAAAAAAACAATAAAAAAAACAAAGTGACTAAATATTATATCATTCATTCTACTCCTCTAATCCCATCTTCATCCTCATATCGTGTGGAAGGCTCGACATGAGGATCGATTGGAGGCCGAGTGAAAGAAATGGTAGATTGTTGAATGATTCGATGGATCTATAGACAACTCGGATGTTTGTGCCAATTGCATCGGTGAGGATGCCATCGAATCGTATTGAGACTTCATACTATAAATAGTCCGATTTTGCTCTAAGATCCGGCTTTTAAGCTTGATTACGTCTTCCTTCATAGCCTTGTAGTACCTCCGAAGCTTTTCATTAATCGGATCGATAATGTATTACGACGTCGCAAAAGAGGAGCTGCTTGCCACCGACTAAGACACATAATGCACCGACTGTGTGCCTATACCATAAAATCTTTTCTTCTTCTCCCCAACTGACTACGGGTATATGGCATTACGGTCTACTTCGGCTCTAAGATTCCGCCTCCCTACGAGCCTCAACTTCCTCATTGATGAGTCGCTCCACGAGGTCTGCGTAATCAAAATAATAATATCATCATTACGGGATTAAAATAAATTTGAGATTAAATTTTCATATTTAATATTTGAAATTGAAAAAAAAAAACCTTTGTCTGCTAGGAGCGTATATTGATAAATGAACCATTGCGTTTCTTGTGAGTCCTTTGGAATAACTCAAAACTCGTTGGTCGAGGTCCTAATTCTGCTGTCTAGAAAAAATTCATTATAGAGAATATGACAAGTCCCAAACTGAAATGTTTTGAAATAAGTAAATAATAATAAAGAGTGCGGTTTATCAAGCGATGTGTATGTTTTTGTGAAGATATTGAGCCCCTCGCATGTCTAGAAGGATCCGAACCGGGACCATTGGTCTTCGACAAGCTGATTTCTAAATGCTTGCTGCGAACGAGCCACGCGATCATGTTTCTTAAAATCAACTTGCCATGCATCCCATACCTCTTGACTCATATATACGAGTGGCTTGTCCA